CCTTGAAAACCCTGTGGAGCAGCTGTACTCTGCACACATGGGGTTTCCATAGCCAGAACCAACTGATGACAACTATCAACCATTAGTTAGGGGTAAAAAAAAGTATATTTCTAATGCTAATTTAAATGAATACTCTTAAAAACAAGATGACAACTTATTTAATGACTTAAATACCTTAACCAAGCTAAGCAAATTAATTATTTTTAATTTGAATATTTATTAAAAGAATTAACCAAAAATGTTACTGTCATTGTTTCTATATAATCCAGGTTTATTAATAAGTTCATCCAGTACTCTAGGCCTAATGCATTTTCTAAATGATTGAGGTGACTGAGAAAGAATTTTCACTGTATGTATTTTTTCCACAAATAAAACAGGTATAAAAATCTTTTAGAAAGTAATTAGTGTTTTGCAAAAATGTTTACCCATATGAACTTCACTAAATTGGTCCTCCTCATTCCTCAAGATTTCATCTTCAGAAACTTCATTTTGCTGAAGGGTGATCCTATCTTTCAACCTGCCAAAAATGAGTACACACACAAAAACCTGTTTATTGAAAGAACTCTAAAATATAGACAATATAACACAAATTAACTAGCGTCCTGTGATCCCTCTTCCAAATATGTTTCTCGTTGTACACATACTTTCTCTCAAAAGCATGCTGTATTTATTATCCTGTTCAAACTTTAATTATTAGACATTCACAAACCCATTCCTTATAATGTATTGTCACATGCTACCATGATATTTCCGACTCACAGCCACCATATGTACAACAAAATGAATCACTACCTAGTCCTGCACCATCCTCATAGTTGTTGTTTGAGCCCACTGTTGTTGCTACTGTGTCAATCCATTTTGCTGAGGGTCTTCCTTTTTTTCACTGTACTGACCTACTTTACCAAGTAAGACGGGCCTTTCCAGGAACTGGTCCCTTCAGATATAAGCAAAGCATATGAGCCAGTCTTGCCATTCTTGCTTCTAAGGAGCATTTGGGTTCTTCTTCTAACACAGATTTGTTTGTTCTTCTGGCAGCCCATGAATACTCCTTGTAACTACTCTAATTCAAATGCATCAGTTCTTTCCTAGTCTTCCTTATTCACTGTCCAGCTTTCACATACATATGTTGTTGTTGTTGTTAAGTGCTGTTGAGTCAATGCTGACCCATAGCGACCCTGTATAGGGTTTCTGAGGAGCAGCTGGTGAGCTTGAACTGCCAACTTTTCAGTTCAAACAGCTTTGCAGTCTTGCGCATTAACCCATAGCAACACACCAGGACTCCAAATGCATTAGTTCTTCCCTAGCCTTCCTTATTCACTGTCCAACTTTCACATACATATGTTGTTGTTAAATGCTGCTGAGTCAATGCTGATCCATAGCGACCCTGTCTAGGGTTTCTGAGGAGCAGCTGGTGAGCTTGAACTGCCAACTTTGCAGTTCAAATGGCTTTGTAGTCCAGTGCATTAACCCATAGCGCCATACCAGGACTCCAAATGCATTAATTCTCCCCTAGTCTTCCTTATTCACTGTCCAGCTTTCACATACATATGAGGCAACTGAAAATACCATGGCTTAGGTCAGGCACAGCTTACTGCTCAAAGTAATATCTTTGCTCTTTAATGCTAAAGAGATCTTTTGTAGCAGATTTGTTCAATGCAATATGTCATCTGATTTTCTGACTTGCTTTCATAGACACTGACTATGAATCCAAGTAAAATGAAATACATGACAATTTCAATCTTTTCTCCTTTTATCATGATGTTGTCTACTGGTCTGTTTGGGAAGATTTTTGTTTTTAACACGAGTTCTAATTCACAATGAAGGCTATATTTTGATCTTCAACAGGAAACACTTCAAGTCTTCTTCAATTTCTGCAAGCAAGGCTTGTCATTTGTATATTTCAGGTTGCCAATAAGCCTCCCTACAATCCTGATGCAAGTTCTTCAGATAACCCAACTTCTCTGATTATTTGCTCAGAATACAGACTTAATAAGTATGCTGAAAGGATATAATTCTAATGTACCTCTTCCCTGATTTTAAACCACGCAGTATCCTCTTGTTCTACTAGAAAGACTGCATCTTAGTCTACGTACAGGTTTCTAAAGAGCACAACAATGTGTTCTGAAATTGCCATTCTTCTCAATGCTATCCACAGCTTGTAATGATCCACACAGTTAAGTGCCTTTGCATAGTCAATAAAACACAAGTAAACATCTTTCTGGTATTCTCTGCTTTCAGTCAAGATTCATCTTATGTTAGCAGTGATATTCCTTATTCCATATCTTCTGAACCCAGCTTGAATTTCTGGCTTGATATAGTGCTCCAACAATTTTTAAACTATCATCAGCAAAATTTTACTTGCATGTGATATGAGGAAATTATCAAACATTAGTAATAATGTTTGATAATTTCCTCATTCTGTTGGGTCACCTTTCTTTGGAATGGGTACAGATATGACACTCTTCCAGTTGGTTGGCCAGGTAGCTGTCTTCCAATTTTTTAGATTGTGGGAGCTTTCACTGCTGCATCAGTTTATTAAAACATTTCAATTGGTAGTCTGTTAATTCTTGTAATCGTTTATTGATACTGCCTTCAATGTATAATTACCATATAAATCCCACTCCTAGGTACAAAGCCAAAAGTGTCACAAACAGGTTTTCAAAGAAAAGCACTGTTTATAATAGTCGTATGTTGGACTGCTCACAGCAGAGCTATTTAACAAGTTGTTCGGAAAAAAACAAATATCCATCAATGTGTTAAATAGATAAATAAAATTTGGTATATACAAAACAAAACAATGGAATATTTATCATTCTAAAATTGAAAAGTAACCTTGAAAACATTATGCTAAGTCAAAGAACCCAGACATTAAAAAAAAAAAACAAATACTGTGTGATTTCACTTATATTAAATGTGCAGACTAAGCAAATCCCCACAGAGACAGAAAGCAGATTAATGATTGCCATGGGCTGGCCATAATTATTACAACCTCTTTCTTTTTTAAAACTAAAAAAAAAAAAAAATTAGATATTTATTCCATTAGGTATTGTTTTGATGAATGGGATTAAAAAAAAAAAAATTAACTTTTTTCCCCCTCAAATTGTTACTGATTCCTTCAATAGCATGTATTGTATAGATATTGTATTTTCCAACTGATTAGAAAGACTATCCTTAACATTTATTAAATTTCTCTCTCTATATATATATTGATCAAATTCTGGTTTCATATAATGTACATAATTAAAAAGCTATAAAAATATATGATATGATCTCTGTCTTGAAAGAACTTAGAGGTTAATAAACACATGCTTTTAAGTGCTATAGTTTCTGACTCCTGTTATTAAATGCCATCAAGTTGGTTCCAACTCCTGTATAAGGTTTCCAAGGAGTGGCTGGTAGGTTTGAACCAGGGACTTTGCAGTTAGCAAGTCCACTGTTTATCCTATAGTGCCACACCTGGACACCTTCTGACTGATAGTGACACTATATATATATATATATATAGTTTCCAAGGAGTGGCTAGTGAATTTGACCTGCTGATATATACTTTCTGGACTCCAAAGGATAGATCAAGCAGTGCTGCATGGAAGAAAGGTGAGATCAAGCAAGTGCTCCAAAGGTGAGATCAAGCAAATGCTGTATGGAAGAAAGAAATACACAAAGTTCTGGAGAGAGGGAAAGGCAGTGATAGAACTCAAAAAGAGTCAGAAAAAAAAAAAAAAATTCCTAAATGTGACAGCACTCCCTGGCACAACAAATATAGTGACCCTATGCTTGGTTTAGCCTCAAAAGTAGACCACACATAATCATACAGATATATATGAATCACAAAAAACAGCTACATTTACGGTAGTAGAAAGCAATGTTTTTTGTCTGTGAAAGCAAACTCCCAGAACTCATAAAAAAGAAAGTAAAAACAAAAAAATTATAGAAGTAAACACAAATTGGGATTAGCATACATACACACAAAACAGGTGAAATGTACACTCAGAGATAAAGAACAGAGAAATGAGAAACAAACAATAAAATGGAAGCAGAACAGAGAGTTCATAAGTCAGAAAAAATGATGAATATATAAAACAAGCACAGAAGATCCAATAGACACGTAATTGGAGTCCTTGCAAAGGAACTCCTGGTGTGGTGCTGTGGGTTAATGCGCTGGACTGCAAGGTCAGTTTGAACCACAAGGTTGGCGGTTCAAATTCACTAGCCGCTCCTTGAAAACCCTATACAGGGTCACTGAGTCAGAAGCGAATCAATGGTACTTAACAACAATAACAACACTAACAAAGGAAATAATACATAATACTAAATTTAAGGAAAACTCACTGAAACAAAAATTTAAATCTACATAACTGAAAGAAAATACCATTTGTATACCCACAACTGTCAAAACCAAGAAATAATGAATATAGTTACCAGATTTCAAAGGTAACAAATATTTTAGAAAGTCAGGCAAATAGATGGTTTCTCCCTTTATAAATGACATCAGGTTGCCTTCAGATTCCACTCCAGAAAAACCAAATTCCAGAAGACAATGGAGCAATATCTATGTGTTACATGAGAAAGAAGAAAGTATAAACTAGTTTCTTCCCCACCCGCCACCCCTACCCCACACAGGTGAAAATACCAGTTTGTCATGGTTTTTGGAGTCCCGCTGTTAATTTGGAAAAGGAGAAAGTCACAGGACAGGGATTCTGTTTGAGGTGCTTGGTAAGTCCTCTAGAATGGTGCTATACACGAAAGGATCCTTCATTAATGCAACTTGCTCTTTAATTCAAAGAGTTATCTTTGGCCAGGCCCGGTAGGTGGCCACATTAAAGGCCCATTTTTCAGGCTGCCAGAACTGAAAAGTTCCTTGACTCCTTTCATGTACACACTAAGACAACTCTTGGAAAATAGTGAAAACTTCCCCACAACCCAGATGTCTGCCAGAACATACTTCCAGTACACATACCCCATACCGCAAAGGGTGGAATTTTTCATGTATAAAGGGTGAAATTTTTCATGTATAAAGGTTACAAAGAGTTATATACATGTAAAAATTCATGATACTGAACTCTGAAGCTCTTTTAGAAGACACTACTAGTGCTGGACTCCTGGTGTAGCGTTGAAGGATCAGCACTGAACTGCTAACCACAAGGCTGGTAGTTCAAACTCACCAGCTGCTCCTTAGAAACCCTATACAGGGTCGCTGTAAGTCAGAACTGACTTGACAGCACTTAACAACATTAGAAGAAAATAATTCAGCTAAACAAGAAATTACTGTAGAAGTTATGACAATAATAATCAATGGTTGTATACCATGGAGTTGGTTTCGACTCATAGCAACCCTTTATAGGGTTTCTGAAACTGTAAATCTTTATGGGAACAGAAAACCTCATCTTTCTCCCAAGTAGTGACTGGTAGATTTGAACTGCCAAACTTGTGGTTCACATTCTAGTGCTAATCCTACAGTATCACAGCAGGAGTCCAACACAGGCAATGCAAAGAATGTCACTGAATTGTATATGTATG